CTTTTTTTGTAATCCACGATTGAATTTTTTGTTTTTTTTTGTTTATTTTTTTTTTATAATCCATGATCGAATTTTATGTAATCCATGATCCATGATCGAATTTTTTGTAATCCATGATTGAATTTTTTGAAAATTTGTGATTTTTTTTTTAATCCATGATCGAATTTTTTTTGTAATCCATGATAGAATTTTTGAAAATTTGTGATTTTTTTTTAATCCATGATCAAATTTTTTTTGTAATCCATGATAGAATTTTTTGAAAATTTGTGATTTTTTTTTTAATCCAAGATCGATTTTTTTGAAAATTTGTTATTTTTTTTTAATTCATATTATTCAAAGAGAAAATGAGAGAGATGATGATTCTGAGGCCACCCTATCGCAGCCATGTTATTCACATATCGAGTCCCAACAACAACAGTGTAGGGATGAGCACGACAGTGCAGGTGAGCATGAAGGATGGACAATCTTCGGGGATTTTATATTGGGAACACAACAAAACACTAACACTCAGGGATTTGGGAATAGTCAGACGCCTACTAATATCGATGATTCGTTTTTAGATCGAATCAATGAATTGTTAAACGAATTCAATCAATGGCACCAGCGTGACCAAGAAGAACAATAACGTCTTCTATCATTTTATTTTTAGATCATATGTTACTAATTTTATGCTTTATTGTAGTCCATGTATGTTGATATACTTATTCCATGATAATTATATGTTTATCCTTTTGTGTGATGTAAATTAAATGCTGAATGACGGTTCATGCAGGGAAAGAACATATCAATATTCGCATATTCATTCAAAAACATGAAAATTCTTAATGGAGTACCCTCATTTCTTATTGAATTCCTAAAAAACAATATTTATAATGAATTTTAATAATTTTTTCGGATTTTTTTTAAGTTTTATTCTGACCGATTCACCCGATTCCCGATTCGGATCGCCGATTAGCTGATCCGGATCGGTTTTTTGGAAGCCCGATCAGGGTCACCGATCCGTTTTTTAAACCATTGCTCTAAACAATCAAATTAGAGCCCACTTAAAATTTTTTACTAAAAAAGATTGTTTTGATGCTCAAATGTCCACAAATTGATCATCTCGACATCAAGATCTATGGACATGAGAAAAAAATGGATTTCAAGTTTTGGAAATAGTGCATCTTGTAACGCATTTTTGAACGGTCAATTTTCAAGTTTTCATAGATTTGCTGGATCTACACTATTTTTGAAGCTTTAAATTTTATAATTAAAGATACAAATATATTTTAAGACTATCACAAAGATTTTCAGTATTGAAATCACTCAGTATTGAAATCACATTTCTCGACACTGTTTGAAAGTGTGCTTCACTTTGATTGTTTAGAGCCTCGGTTCTATACAAACCAGATTCAAATATTCAATGAACATGGCATGTTTTGATTACCCTATCTTTCTCTCAATGAAATTTACTTCATTCTCTAGGCTAGGAAAAGGGAAATTTAAGTTTACGTTGAATGTGAGGGAAAGTCAATCCCACCGTATTGCGTTATTCTTCATTGTTAATTTCAGATTTTTTACTCTTATATTTATTGGATTTATAGGCCTATTCTAACTTTAACCTTTTGTGTTTTTGAATGATTGTTAAGGTTGTGTTATCACATGATTATAAGTTTGTAACCATTAGAACAAAACCTCATATTCACAGTGAAAGCTCCACAGTGAAAACATTAAGAATCATACAATTTGGAATGAACCCCTAAAAATTCAAAAAAATTGAAAAT